TGCTTGCCACTCTTCCCCGCTTTGTCTCTACCTCACTTCCTTCCATTTTGACTCTCCACTGCCTTTGCCCTTCCCAAATAATCCTTTATTGTCACACTCCAGACTTTCTGAAGTTTTGAGAGGTTTCTTTTCCGAAATGGGAAATGGTGAACCAACCTACTACCACAGTCTTCTGGTAAAAATCCTGTCCTCCCCTCGTCACTTCATCTCCCCCACTTTCTACCATCTTCCTTTTGTTTGTCTTGGCTACTCTTAAATTGCAGACTCTTTGAGGGCAGTGCCAGAATCCAGTCCATAGAACTCCATAAGGCACCTAATATGCTAAATATTATAAAAGGTCCTTTTTTTTTTTTTTTTATTTTGATTTTCAATAAGCTCACTGAAAATCCAAGTAAGCAGGACTCTAAGTAGACAGACATACGCGTCCTGTCAACAGGAAGTTTCTCTTGCATAACTTCTCTGGCAGTTCTGGACAGCTAAATGTGCTTGGGTTTATTTTCCTCGCTGCAAATTAATAGTCAGGACAAAAGTGAACCCACAAAGAAAAAATCATTTCTGAGAAAGGAGATTCTAGAAAGGCAGATGATTTTTAGCACGCAGAGCTGCCCTCATGAAACATCTGCTATGACGTAGTCCTGTTCTGGCCATAGACCAAGCATATCAATAGCTCCACAGAGTAATGGGATAAGAAATGGGAAAATTGCCATTGCTTGTTTAGCAGCTTGTTTTGCTGATAAATGCCTGTCACTTTTCAAATAGCTACAATGCAATTGTTTTTTGGGGAAAATATTTCCTTGAGCAGGAGGTTTGCAGGCCATTAGCTATTTCCCATCTGCGCTGGTGTTTTAATATACCACACATACACTTTGCTCCCTATTAGAAATTATTCACAGCTTTTGATTACGGGCAGGCAACCTGAAGTTTAGAAATCATGTCTGTTATTAAAAAGTTTTCTCTTGCGTTACAGAAAACTTACATCTCAAAATCATTAGAACCACTATGCATTTTTTGAAAGAACCTCTATGTATAAAGAAAAAAGTACTCTTTTTGGACATCTGTAATTTTAAAATAATGAATGACTGTAGAAAAACAGGAGCTGTTTGACTAAAGAGGTGGCCACTGTGTGCTTGTTCCATGGGTAGAGGCAGAACGTCGCTCAGCCAAGCACTGCCACATGCTGGAGTTCATCTCACCCCTTTTCAACTCTGCCATGACAATTTTTAAATTCCAGCTGATAGCTGCTAGGACAGACAAGAGCCAGACCTCCGTTTAACATCACATAATACCTCTAGTAGCCGTCTTCTTTCACTTCACACACATACACTCAAGATGCAATTACTTGCAGTATATTCAGCTGTGCCAAAGACACAGAACTATACTCTTACCTGCATCAATCTCTTCCCTGCATCAACAGAAATACTAGATGCATGCATTTTGGGGCGGGGGGTGTGTGTGTGCAACCAAAACCATTCCTGATTAGTAAGTATCCTTCTCCTTTTTTTCCTCCTCGTCCCATCAGAAAAAAAGTAGAGAAAAAACAAGGAGAGATGTAAAAATGTGGGTACTGTTGCAGATTTATTCCAGCGATAAATTCATTTGGTCATCTGAATCCTTTGCATTTTTTTTTAATTTAAGAGGATCACATGAAGTTTCTATCCTAACTAGTTTTTAGACTTCACAGAATAGTTAGGGAGAAAAAGAAGAGATTCAGGAGTAGAAAGTGGCCTCCATCAAAGAATGAATATAGGAATGAAGCGAAATTTCCAAGTCAGGTCCTGCACAGTGGGAAACTCACACTGTTATCTACCACTGGGATCGACAGGCAAAAGGACCAACGTACAGGCAGTGACTGCTTTTCAGAATTTATTGTAAAAAATAGTATTAAACAATAGGAAAAAAAGCCACTCCTTTTTCAATCCACCACATATTGCTTTATGTGGAAACAATGGCAAAATGTGACAGAAATGTATTTACCCATTCCTATCCATATATCAGATAATCCCAGCTACTCAGGACATGCTCATGGGAAAAATATTGGCAGTATCACAGCATATGGAAGTGGAAATAAAAAACATGCAGTATTTTCAATTGCAGTTGGGAGGCCTATTTCCTGGAGTCTAAAGATCATGTTGTTTTATCTGTTTTCCTTTAGCATAATGTACATTATCAGACTTTCATAACTTCAGACACCAGCAGAAAGCCCTGATTTTTTGCCAATGGTGACATACCCACCTCAAAGATAAATGTGGAAGTCAGAATGTCTGCCTTATTTCTGTTTGCAATTTCCTTTCCATAGGAACATGCACATAATACAGTTCCTGCTCGCAGATATTTAAAGCTTGGCTAGCCCTTTTTCACTTATACCAGTTCAACCCCACTGGAGGTCCTCAGGGCAGCACAAACAATGGAGAACAGACTTCCAACACCACACTGCATTTACTTTGGCCAAAAACTGCTTGTCCTAACACCAAATTATCCATGTTAAACATACTTGGTAGGTCTTCTGCTTTTGTCTACAAACAGAAAGATGTGAGATTCTGTACTAAACTGTATTACAAAAAATGTAAGCCAATACATTCCACAGTTTGGTTTTTTTTTTGTGGATTTTCTAGTTCATGTCACAACTGTGAAGTACCAGTGTTAACTTGAACAGAGCTCAATTTAAACAGAACCCCAAAATAATGACTGTGCAGTAGTATTTACCTGGTGCAATCAGCTTCATTATCAATTGGTGAAAAGTTGACTTAGCTTTAGTTTCATGCTCAAAAGCATTAATCAGAGAAAAATTAAGTTGCGTGGCACCTTTGAGACCAACTCAGTTTCAAGTCAAGGGATGAACTTACACATACATAGGTGCATTGTTTTAGGTATGGCATGAGTATAAAACCCAAATACCCAGAAAACAGGGGTCAGAAGAAACCTATGGATAATGCTAAATAACAGCACCCAACCATTTTTTTTTTTCCCATGGCTGTGTTTGCTGAAAGCTGATAACAGCAACCACAACAGTTTGAGGTGACTCACACAACTGACAGTCACTGGTGTAAAGAGCAATGGAAATTTTGGTCATTCTGAAAGAAGGTACAATGGAGCAATACAGGAAATTCCATACTGAAAGGACAAAGTCAAACATTTGTTCTCTTGCACATCATAAAAAGTATTTTTGGTTACAAATTACCACTGCAAACAATCTTCTCATAGATAAAACTAAAAACGTCTCTACCTAAAAAGCTTTGAGAAGGGTCAAAACCCCACAAACCTCTTCCCGTCTGACTTGTGACAGTCTCCTTATTTTAAGAAAGACCCTCCTCTTGGTCAATCAATTCTGTTTTGGTGGAGAACACATCAGCCAGCATGTGCTTTGGGATTTCAGATCCCCGTACTTTTAATGTGTAGCAGGCATTCTCTACTTTTGCCAGACTCTGTTTCAAGGTATACAGCTTCTTAGATACTTCATAAGGTCCAGTGTTGCCAATGAAAGTAAAACCATCATAAATCTGACGTAAGAACTGGCTCAGTTCAAAAGGCGTGTCTATGTCCCCATTTCCAACACTGCTGATGCACAGCCGCATCAGCTCTCCAGTTAGATCAGCCACTCCCAGCAGGTAATCTACAGGTGTTACCTTCAGGCTCCAAGTGTGTGGTTGTTTATCATGGGAATCGGAGGTCTGAGGACAGAACAGAACCAAGTCCAGTACAGAGAACTATGAAAAAGCAATCTATAATGGTTCAAATACACACTAACTTATCTAACATAACTGGTAATAAAAAACATTCCGGAAAATTAAATTGCATGGCACTTCCACACAGCCTGATTTCAGAAGTACTAATCTCCTTCCAGCATACCAGAAGGTATGAAAGCATCGTTTCCACTTGAGATGTGACTTCCACTCTAGCAAGCACGATAAACATAGCCTGCTTCTACCATCTCTATTTGCAAACATAATTATCACTTCTTTGTACCAACATTTATTTGCAGCTTCTTTTTTTTTTTTGGCTGACAGATCTCAACCTAATAGATTTAAATTTTCCCTAAATGGTCAGTCCAAAGCTACCAAAGCAATCAAGCATCAAAAAGAGTCTGCATTATGAAAACAAATTATATCATTTTGTAATAGTATCTTGTATTTCAAAACATATTTTCTACAAGAAGCTGATAGGTATAGTTCTCAGATCCATTTTATAGCAACTGAACTCATTAAAATTGCAAAAAAATGCTTCATAAAGAAAACTCATCACAAAGTTACAAGTTTGCTCCTATATCCTAGTTTCCAATACTTCTTATTGCCAAAATATTGGTAACTTGGGAGGCAATTCAGGTTTCTTTCTGTTCCCTTAACATGCTATCCACCCAAATTAGCAAATCTGGTCATAGGCATGTACGCAGGGGTTAACAACTTCACAACCTGTTAAAACAAGTGTGCCACAATGGGTCTGCCTCCAGTAAGAACAAATGAAATTAAGCTAAAAACTTGGCTTCTTCACAAATATCTTACCAAGAGAATGAAGAAAGAATAGAAAGTGCTTTACAGTAGAATCTTTTCAACAGAGACAGACTCAGGAATTCATCTAAAGCAGCAGTGCTGTGCATTACTGTACACTGCATGTGCGCTACGTGTACATTTCTGTACCTCACTACACAATTGCCTTTTGTCCCCTGTAAACAATCAAACTGTAACCAGTTTACTGTGGTCAGTGGCAGTAGTTTGTCCCTATGCAAAAAGTTCTATTTAGGGCAGGGTAGGAGCACGGGCAAGTCAAGAAACAGTAGGTACAGTATTAGGGCTAAGGGATGATGGGACACAAGCTTGTCCTCTGAGAGGAGGCATTAAGATCAACTCCAAGAAAGTAACAAACGACCAAGCTAACATATGTGGTGCATTTTAACAGAAGCTGAATACAGTGCCTCCTGTGGCTAGTTCAGTAAGATTTCGTTCATGACGTCCATCCTGCCTTGGATTCATTTGTCTCCCCCAACTTTTGCTACATCACTATACACCAGGACTTACAGGCTGACCCAGCCTCTAAAAATCCCCCTCTACATTTGTTTGCTAGTATTTCTCTATCCTGGATCTTTCCCCCTGCCAGAAGGAAATCAGTTTGCTCTGAATAAAAAGGATGTGAAATTCATAAACTAGTATCCCACAGATTTAGTTTACTACTTGTCAGACTAAAAAGCATGTTTTGAACCAGCGAGTCAAAGCACACATGTCTAATACCATTCCACTAACTGGCCTTATTTAATCAGATGCCAAAAATGTGACTAAGCCTACTCATTGCATTTCCATCCCAGAAAGATGTTTGTCACATGAGAAAAGAAAAACTTTTACCATGTTTGTTGTTTCTTCTCTGTCTTCCGCTGTAAATATTAGTTGTTTGTTGATCTCTTCAACGCTAATCAAAGATCGTGTTTTGATAAAATACTGAAATGAGACTGCCTCAACATATTCTTGAAGTCCTGCAAAAATAGCAGAAGAATTAAGCTAATGATTCAAACTTTCCAGCGATGATCCACACTCATAGTTATTTATATTTTTAAAAATCTTTTAAGTGAGACTATTTTCAGGTAAGTAGAAAAAAATGAAAACTAAGACAATCTAGAAATAGCATTGAAACATAATTTAACATAACGCTTCTGAAGTACTTAAACCAGACCAAGAACACAGCAGACAAACATTTTCAAGTTTTTACTCCAACTGCATTTTTCACTCGGAACCTTCTGTAATATCAATATAAAGCATCACATTACTGTCAGAAACATATTGAACAGCAGCTCTCCACAATATCCCTCAGGGTTCTGTGCTGGGACCAGCACTGTTTAATACCTTCATCAATGACACAGACAGTGGGATGGAGCGCACCCTCAGCAAGTTTGCAGACAACACCAAGCTGAGTGGTGCGGTTGACACACCTGAGGGACGGGATGCTGTCCAAAGGGACTTGGACAGGCTCGAGAGGTGGGCCTGTGTGAACCTCATGAGGTTCAACAAGGCCAAGTGCAAGGGCCTGCACCTGGGTCAGGGCAATCCCCAGTATCAATACGGGCTGGGGGATGAAAGGACTGAGAGCAGCCCTGAGGAGAAGGACTTGATGTATGAAAAGCTGGACATGAGCCGGGAATGTGGGCTCGCAGCCCAGAAAGCCAACCATATCCTGGGCTACATCAAAAGAAGCATGGCCAGCACCTCAACAGAGGTGATTCTGCCCCTCTACTCTGTGCTGGTGAGACCCCACCTGGAGTACTGTGTGCAGCTCTGGAGCCCTCAGCACAGGAAAGACATGGACCTCTGGAGCGAGTCCAGAGGAGGGCCACAAAAATGATCAGAGGGCTGGAGCACCTCTCCTATGAGGAGAGGCTGAGAGAGTTGGGGTTGTTCAGCCTGGAGAAGAGAAGGCTCTGGGGAGACCTTATTGCGGCCTTTCAGTACTTAAAGAGTGCATATAAGAAAGATGGGGACAAACATTTTAGCAGGGCCTGTAGTGATAGGACAAGGGGTAATAGCTTTAAATTAAAAGAGGGAAGATTCATACTAGATATAAGGAAGAAATTTTTAATAATGTGGGTGGTGAAACGCCGGAACAGGTTGCCCAGAGAAATGGTAGATGCCCCATCCCTGGAAACATTCAAGGTCAGGTTGGACGGGGCTCTGAGTAACCTGACCTCGTTGAAGATGTCACTGCTCATTGCAGGGGGTTGGACTAGATGACCTTTAAAGGTCCCTTCCAACCCAAACCATTCCATGATTCTATGATAATGTAACTTCTAAAATATGGCATTTGTATTATGAAGAGTGCAGATTACTATTTCACGAGTTCACAAAGACACAGGACACAATGCAGAGAAAAAGACTGCAGATAAAACAAAAGCAAAGAAGGCAGCTGACCTATGAAAAACAAAAATATGTAAATAAAATGAAGTTTCCTTTATTTCATCTTATTAGCAACAGTAGATACTCGTTTAAAACTGAATTTCCCAGTTCTCTATTTTGTGGGAATTGGTGAACAGCTCCTTAAAACATGCAGGTTAGATGAAATTCATGTTCAGGACAAAGCATCTGTTGTTACAAATCACTCCAGACAAAAAAAAAAAAAAAAAAAAAAAATAAAAAAAAAAAAAAAAAAAAATCAAGCAGACAGGGCTGTGATGTCCAACAAGAAGAATATACTGAACAACAGCTCTGTCCAAAAGAATTTATATGCTAAAAACAAGGCATGCAGGGGGACAAAAGGAGTTGGTGTGCTGGCAAGGAAATAAAAGATGGGATAAGCAACGTAGCTTCTACCAGATTTGTATGCCATCTGCAGCCACCTGCCACAATTGCCTCTCGCTACCTACTTAGCAGATGGTGATTTTCTGTATGCATTACAGCAAAGGTGAGATGTAAAAAAAAGCTTGAATGTTCAGACAGCGATTTCACAGGTTCTGTCAGTTTTTCCTTATGTGCAGAGAGCAGGTTTGGGGAAAGGATGCGGGAAAAGTTCATAAGCAAAAAGCTGAAGTTGGCAGTGTTGGTAGAAAAAAAGCAGAAACAAACCTGGTACAAACACCTATGGTAGGACTAAGCTAAAAAAAGTCTTGAAGACAAAAATCAATGCACGTGTATATCCAACCTAAGGATGGAGAAAGCACCAAAGGAGGATGTCAAAGGAACAGACTAACATGACAGAGATGGTTCCAGCAGAACCATTCTGAGCCATTTTAAAGAGCTGTTTTCACTTCAAGAGAAGCGAAGAGGTGACACTGCCATATCACGCTGCAAGAGGGCCAAGATTAGACAATAGTTTTGACAGTGACTAAAGTCAGAAAATGTGGAGTTAACCAAGGGTACCAGAAGTAGAATCCTGGTTTCATTAGAATCACCTTTAAATCCTCAACTGACCTCTACAGGGCCAGAATCTCAGCCTACTGGAGATATGCAGGAAGCAGAAAATTTAAACTTCATCTGGATCAAAGAAAAAGTCTCTATCAAAAAGAAGAGAACATAGATGTGAATAACAGATGAGAGTGGAAATACTCCTGAAAATCTAGAGGTAACCTCAACAGAAAATTCAATTGTAGAAGGCCTTCCACATTACAATCATAAAAGCATGATAAGGGACCTGCATTTCTTCCTTTTAAATATGTACTTGCAAGGTGAGTGGAGGCAATTCAGAAAGGCGATTCAGCCTGCACCCTTTATGCTTCTCTACAGCAGCAGTGGAAAACGCAGAATAAACATCCAGCAACCGAAGTCACACTTGGCACTGTTGTTCACACACCAGAATGCACGCAGGGAGCTACAAGGCCAATTAAATACAATAATTTAATCAACTGAATTCAGGTAAAGCGTTCTGGGCACAAGAAACAGAACAATACTAGATAAAAGCTACTCAGGATCTTCTAAGATGAATAACTTCAGAAGTTGCAGAGAAGTAGATTTCATCACCCACTCTTTTCCTGACTTACCCTCTGATGTAACATGGCCAGTAATTCATTATGAAATTTTGGCTTTTCTGTGGATAAGCCGTAAGATACCAGATACAGCAGCACTCAGTATGACAACATCTGTGAGAAGTTCTCTCTGCTATCTGCGGAGAAGACTATCACATATGAAGAATCAATTTGGCATTTTCTCAAGCTCACAGGGAGATCAAATCAGCTTGCAAACTTTTTCATAAACCGTTTTCTCAGTCTATCATAACTTCCAGTTTCAGCTCACTCCACTTTACTCCTCCACACATGCTTTGTCCTTTTCCAGGATAAGTGTTTGGCTCCTCCGTTCATCTATTGTTATGTATTTTCTTTATACAGGCATACTTATGCCATGGTTCCACTCTTCTTCTCGCTCCTTCTGTTTAACCATGTGAATGCTGCACACATAGTCTAGTTTGTCATTTACTGTCACCTTTTCACAATTAGGGAACGTATCGCCCCCTACTTACAAGTAAGCTTTACAAAACCTCATTTAAAGTTGTTACCATTACAAATAGACGAGTAACAAATCCTGGTTACAAGTACTTTGCAAAAAAAAAAAAATTCATGTTGGACTTTTTTTTTTTTTTAAAAAAAGTCCTTCTTCCAGAAGCAGCTACAATGTGACACTTCAATGACCCAAGACCTTGAAATAAGGTGCTTCCATGTGCAGGTAGAAGGATGTTTAAACATGTTATGTTTTAGCTTAATGGTAGGACATCCGCTATTTTCAGCAAATAATCCCCAAGGTGAAAAACCCCATCCCATTTCACTAAACCATCCAACAATACCTTTCCCCTTATGCTCTTGTTTTGGATTTATTCCAAAATTGGCTTATTTACGGATTAAGCTGCCAGTAATGGAATAGTTTGTAAGACTGCCTTTTATGTAATTTTTTTTCTAGTACACAGACTGAAAATGCCAATGAAAAGCACTGTATTATTTCTACTAGCACTTCTTAAAATTACAGATGTAAGGTAAAAAAACGCTTCAGTATTCTGATATTTTATTACATTTACTCTATATAAATAGCTTCTACTAGTAACGAGTTACAATGACACAGTATAACAGCTTCCCTCTATATTTTGAAAATTTATTTCTACATAAGAACTAGAAAGTTACGCCGAGTATTTTCTGAGCATATACTACCAATAAAGGAGATTTTGTGCCTGAAAGTTTGTTCATTTTTTGACAGCAGTATCAGCTGATATTCAAGACATCTATCCTTATCTACGCAGGCAAACTCTGAGAAAAAACTGTTAAGCAGTGTCTTTAAGAAACCTAGCAAGAAATCAGGTTTCTTCAAAAACACAAGTCCGTCTAACACTCAATCCAAGCATCAAATGAATGCGTAAGGGATAGGAAAAGATAGTTCTCCTTCAAAAACAAGTAAAGGACAGAAGTTTCTTAATTGCAGAAGTCAGGTTCGGGTAAACAAAATCTAATTCCACCCAAGACATACATGCATGGAAGTTTTAACCCAAAACGACAAATAGAACAAGAGGTGAAAGTATCCTCCTAAGATTTTGTTTACTTCATTTCCTGCTTTAAATACCTGTTCAACAGTTAAAAAAATGGGTTAAAATGGATTTCATGCCTCTCAGTTCTTAAGGTTAGCAATGCCAATGCTACCTGCCATCTTCCCGAATAAGCTGCTTCTCTCCCTATCTCTTCTCAAACTCATTTTCCTTCTATCCCTTCATCCTCCTTCTTCCCTCTTTCTCTGTATGTTTTTGTGCACAGAGCAGCCTGTGCCGATGGTTAGGACACAAGCAGATGACAGCCTATGTTCTCTCACGCAGCTCCCTCCCTAAACTGTGCAACTGGCCACTAGTAAGATGGTAGGAAAATACAGACAGCAAGTTTCTTCCAGGATCACTATACGAAGGGTGGGGCACATTATTTACAGGGCGAGTCATGTGAAACTATCCACTCGCAAATGCCTTACAAAATCAAAACAGCACAGCCACAGCTCTATCTTATTAGCATATTTAGGCTGGCAAGTT